GAAACCAAGTTTCTTCTTGGAGACTAGGATTTTGGAGCTCTGTCTCACATTCATTGGGCTTGAGGTCAGGAGAGACTGGTCCTTGGAGAAGGACATCATGCTTGGAAGGGTGGAGGGACAGCACAGGAGAGGAAGACCCCAGGTGAGATGGATTGAGAATCACTGTGGCAATTGGGGTTGGTGTGTCAGAATTAGTGAGACTAGCTCAGGACAGGACAGGGTTCAGAGGTGTGGTACAGAGGGTCACTATGGGTCACAGGTGACTCGACTGCACAAAACAACAAATTTCTTTTAGTTACTATTTAATAATTACTAAAACTTCATAGTTACTAAATATGCTCTTGTTGTGCTTGTTGTTGTTGTTAGATGTCATAGAGTCGAGTATGACCCAATGAATTAGCCACCTGTGCCATCCTCACACTTCCTGACACACAAAACCCATCACAGCAGTCACCTTGTCAATCCACCTGGTTGAGGGCCTTCCTCTCCCTCGCCAACCCTCCACCCTTTCCAACATCACGTCCTTCTCCAAGGAATAACACTTCCTAGCAATATGTCCAAAGAATGTTAGGCGAAGCCTCGTCATTCTTGCCTTCAACAAGCACTCTGGCTGTACCCTTTCCAAGACATATGTATTGGTTTTCTTAGCTGTCCATGGAATGTTCAGTGTTTTTCTCCAACACCACAGCTCAAATGCATCAATGATATGTTCTAAAATCTCCTAAATTACATCTTTGTTTTGGATATTTAGGTCAGAGTTCAGAAACTGTGCTCCTGTTGCCTGCAAATAGGTTATCGACCGTGTTGTTTCCGGAGGCTGTAAGTAGCACAATGTTTTATTTTATTTTATTTTAATTAGTTGCCAAGGGAAATCAAGAGATAACTTTTAGAATCTAGATTCTCTAGTGTAGTGACAAGGAGCTGCAATTCACCTTTGTTGTTGTTGTTGTTGTTATATGCTATCTAGTGGCTTGCGACTCCTAGTGACTCTATGTACAAATGATCCAGACCCTGCTCTATCCTGTGCCAACTTTATGACCCCTGGGTGCCAGAGTGGAACTGAGTGTGAGGTTTTTCATTGGCCTTTCTTCCGTGATGCCACTCGGTATATATCTCAACTGTCGATCTTTTGTTTAGTAGCAGCAGCTTTTTCTGGCACAGAAGAGGTGCTGGAAAGTTCTTGGCTGAGTGAGTTAATGATGCTTAAGACAACCCCTTTAGATACCACCACGTGTGAATGTGTGACTCTACAATTCACCAGTGTGGCCTTATTAAGATACCAGTGAAGTTCAACTCCAGGTCCCAGTAGCTCAGTCTTGGGGATTTTTTTTCCCACCCATCAGCAGATGGGACCCCACCAGTTGCTCTTGGTCTCCACCTCTTCCTCGGGCCTCTGGAAGACTCTTATTTTATATAGTGTGTTAAGTGTTAGGCTGTGAACAAAAAGATTGGTGGTTTGAATCTACCAGCTGCTTTGAGGGAAGAAGACGTGCAGTCTCCTCTCACAAAGATGTATAATTGTGGAAACCTGGTGGAGAGTCACCACGAGTCAGATTCACTGTGGTGGCTTTGAACTTGGTTGTGTGGGTTTGGGCACGTTGTTAGGAGGGGCTGGTCCTTGGGAAAGGATGTCAGCCTAGAGATCATGATAAGTGGAGGTGGAAAGCGTGATGGCATGGAGGGTCAGCAAAGGACAGGAAAACACTCAACAAGATGAATTAACACAGCAGCTGTAGCAATGGATTCAAGTATATTGGAGATGATGAAGATGGCACAGGATAGGGCAAGGTCAGATGTATTGTTCATAAGATTGTCAGGAGCCACACTGGACTCAATGGCACTTAACAACAACTTTACAGGCCACCAGCCTTCTATTTCTTTGTCTCTGACCATATAACTTCCCCAATCCATGACGGTCTTAGTTCAAATGGCACCGTTGCAAAGGTGTCCCTTGAAGGCCCTATCTTAAACACTACCTCCTTCCAGAGAAAGGTTTATTCAAGAAGTTGAACTCTATGAAGAAAAATGTGGCATCAGGATTGGAGGAAGAATCATCAATAACCTTCATTAGGCAGATGACACAACTTTGCTTGCTGAAAGTGAGGAAGATTTGAAGCATTTTGCTGCAGAATGTTAACATTACAGCCTTCAATATGGATTGCATCCAAACAGCAAGGAAACAAAAATCCCCATGACTGAATTAATAGGCAACATCATGATGGACAGAGAAAAGATTAAGACTGTTAATGACTTCATCTTACTTGGATCCATAATCAGCAGTTGGTACCAGCAGTTAGGAGATCAGAAGACAGGCTGCACTGAGAACTTCTGTAGTCAGGGATTTTTTAAAATTATTGAGGAGAAATCATGTCAGTTTGAGGACTAAGATATGCCTGATTCAGGCCATGGTCTTTTTAGCCACTTGTTATGCATCTGAGAGCTGGGCAATGACTAAGGATGACAGAGTAAGAATTTTTGAACTGTGGTGCTGGAGAAGAGCATTGAAGATTCTATGGACCACCAAAAGAATGAACAAGTATGTGTTGGAGAAGGTGCAGCCAGAGTGCTCTTTGGAGGCAAAGATGATGAGGCTTTGCCTCATATACTTTGGGCATGTTGCTAGGGGGAGTTATTCCTCGGAGAGAGACATGATGCTTAGAAAGATAGAGAAGGTCGGTGAAGGAGAGGAAGAGCCTCAATCAGGTGGAATGACATGATAACTGCCACAATGGGCTCTAGAGTGTCAGGAAGTATGAGGATGGCACAGGAAAAGTCAGGGTTCAGATCACTGTTCATAGGGTCACTATGGGTTGTACTCTACTTGACAGCACCTAACAACAACAACCCAATGTGTGAGAGGCCCAGTCATTTTTGCTAAGTAGTCTTACAGCTTTGACTTTTAGGTTTAAATTAAAGGAAAATTGTTGTGGAGGTTTTTTGTTGTTTGGTTTGGGTGTTTTTTTGAATTTTGTACTTTTTAAATTTTTATTTACAAAGTTTGTATATATTGCTTTTCACACTGGATCTTTCCCATTTCTTTTCCCCACGCCCTTCTACCCATCAAATTATGTTACTTTATGATTAACACCCCTTCTCTGCCAACTCTCACCCTTCTGCTCCCACCCTTCCCCCTCCTTGGGTCCTCATACTAGTTCTACAATAATGGTCTTTTACAGTATTTGTCCTCATGGAACTGAGTTAATTCACTCAGCATAATGTTATCCAGTCACTCCCTAGTTTTTAGTAATTTACAAATTTATTGCTCCTGTGTTCTGTGTAGTATTCCATTGTGTGAATGTACCATAACTTCTCAATCCTCAACGGAAAGTTTTGAGCAAAGAATTAAAATTAACTAACTTATGGTGCAGCCAGAGAGTTCTTTGGAGGCAAGAATGATGAGCTTCACCTCACAAACTTTGGGTATGTTGCTAGGAGGGACTGTTCCTTGGAGAAGGAAGGTCAGTGAAGGAGAAAAAGACCCTCAACCAGGTGGGTCGACACAGTGACTGCTGCAATGGGCTCTTGTGTGTCAGGAAGTGTGAGGATGGCACAGGACAGAGAAGGGTTCGGATCTTTTGCTCATAGTCACTATGAGTCATACTCGACTCGACGCTACCTAACAACAAAAACAACTTATGTTCTAGAAGCATCACTTGGCCATGCTGAGACTAGACTGTGGTGGGACAAAATCTGGACTCAAGGACATGCATTAGGAGACAAGTGCACTAACCCAGGCTTGGCCTGGCTGGCAGAGTGAAGCTGGTAAGTATGGTCAAACTCTGAAACTTTAACAGTAACGTTTCCAGGAAATGTTCTTCATCCTTGCTCGCTGAATAATACTGAACTTCAAGGAATGCTACTGCCCTCAGCAAGATGGACAGGTGTACACAGTGGCTCCAGCAATGGGCACAGCAGTAATTGTAAGGATGGCTTGGGACCCGGTAGTGTTTTGTTTTGTTGTTCCAAGTCACTGAGAGTCAGAACTGACTCAACAGCACCTAACACTAACAACAACATCAATTTTCTCATGATGTGTTAGTGGGCTCAGGGGTAGACTTCCCATCTTCCATGAGAGAAACTGAACCTTAATTCCTGGCCAACGCCTTTCATGGGTGCCCATAACCTTTCAGTGGAGACTGGTGTTCTATGTTGAACGGGCTTCAGTGGAACTTCTAGACTAGGAGACGAGGAAGAAAGGCCTGGTGATCTACTGGTGAAAATCTGCCAATGAGACCCCTGTGGCTCACAATGGTCTGATCTCCAGATGTACATAGGGATGGGACAGGTCCGGGCATCACTTGTTCCACTGCGCATGCTGGGGTCACCAGTGAGTCGGGACTGACTTGATGGTGGATAACAACATTGCTTTTGTAGTTTTAACTGAGGTTGTAGTCGGACCTGCTGTCAAGTATATGGCTAGAACTTGCCTGAATATAGGCAACACATTGTCATTTTACTATTACAGAGTTTCTTCACTATTTTAAATTACTAGATTCAAATTTTAATCCCCAGATTGTAATTCTTCTAGCATGATGGCCTCAAATGCATCATGCCAACTCATGCATTCACCTCTTGACAAATGAAAAAGAACAACACATTTCATGTCAGGATCTGCGAAGCCTCATAAATCCATGTGTCACTGCCTCGACCACTTCAACCAATGTCCAACCCTTCCTTTAACCCATGATTTAGAGCTGGAAGTTGCTCTTTATGCCAGATTAATAAACTCAATTGCTCTTTCTTTATGTAATACCAATTTTGTGCTCCCGCAATGAGACAGTAGATTTATTGTCTATGAATCGCTACCTTGAAAAAATTACATCAATGCAAAGTGATTGCATTTTAGCTTCCATAGCCAATGAAATGGATTTTTTTTTTTTTAGGGAGAGGATATTTATGAGGTCACAGGATAATATATAATCATCAACCTGGGAATGAGAGGGAGTGAGGTGGAAGTTGTGGACAAGAGAAGCCAAGAAGACTTACACCGAGCACCAGTCATGTACAAACTGGCTTTGTCCTGCTTTCTTGTCATCTCGTTCCTAAACCCGGTCCTCTCTCTCCCCGTCACTGGCTCCAGGGAGGAGGTGACCCCTCAGCTCTCAGGTAAGATGAATTTTAACCCCCTTGAGTTAACTGTGAAAGAGTCTTTTAAGGTCTTAAACGTGAGAGATAAGAATGGGGATTCTTAATTGGCAAATATTCTGTTACAAATGTTTTTATAATCACACACACAAAAAAATGAATGGGATTCACACTTAAAAGAGTTTCGGTGGTATGTTTATAATTCTGCTTACGGGGGTGGGGAACCCAATGATTACCAGATCTTCCCTCTACATCTTAGATTCCATTTTCCCCCTACTAAAATGCAAATGTAGGAGAGTAACTGTTAATTTTATGTCATTGTTATAATTCAAATTTTCATTTTTGCCGATTAAGGGGTTTTTTTTAGATTGTGCTAAATTTAAAAATTATGTTCAGTCTTGGTTTAAAATGAATTAATCAAGTATAAGATTGATTGGTTTTTCTTATTGTGGATTTATTTTAAGAGAGAGCTACCAACTATTATGGTAAATGAAATAAAAATTGGTTATTAAAAGGCAAAATGCATTTACTTGGGTTTTTTTTCCCCAATTTTCTTTTTCAATAGAGCTAGAATGTAAAAAATGTCTAAGTATATTGATTTTTAAAAACAATTTGTTTTATTCTGTCCAAGGTTAAGTTGGATTTTTTTTTAAGTGTTCAGTCAAGGAGATACTTCTTTTGCTATGATCTCTGACTTTAGTTTAAGAAATGAATAAGTTTGTGTTTGGGTATCAATTTTCAAGGATAAAAACCTTAACTGGGTATTTTATTGTTCAACTTTGACTTCTTTTTCTTTTTTTTATTTTTAATTTCTTTATTTTTCATTTCAATGAACATCTACAGAGATTTTGGAATTCCATTCATTCATTGTTGCACCCCTTTCCCCTCTCCTCCCCCACCCCCCACCCCGACTTCTTTTTCTTAAAGAGAGAAGTCCTTTTTCAAGACATTGGTTTTATCATGTTTCATCTTTAATAACTTCTCCCAGGCAGGCTTTCTGGTAAAATCAAACACGATAGTCACTCAGGAGTATCAATCAACTTTAAGGTCACTGACCTCAGAACCTACATTAACGGTCAAAATCAAGCATTAATTTTATTGGTCCTCTGTTTGTTTGGGTTTTGTTTTTTGTTGCATTGTTTGTTTGTTTTTTAAAGAAATTATAGAAAGCTCAAGATAAAATCATCCTGAGTGAATATTCAGATACTTTTATCATGTTGTTGTTGTTGTTATGTGCCGTCGAGTCATTTCCGACTCATAGCGACCCTATGCACAACAGCTCTAAACCCTGCTCTATCCTGCGCCAACCGCACCGCCCCTGACACACCCATCCCGATTACCCCAGTCACCGAATCAATCCATCTCATAGAGGGTCTTCCCCTCCTGCGCTGTCCCTCCACCCTCCCAAGCATAATGTCCCTCTCCAAGGACCCGTCCCTCCTGGCAACATGTCCAAAATATGTCAGATGAAGCCCCAGAATCCTTGCCTCCAAGGAGCAGCTTGGTTTAATCCTCTCCAAGATGAATCTGTTTGTTTTCCTGGCAGTCCAGGGTACATTCAGTACCCTTCTCCAGCACCACAGCTCAAAAGCATCCATTCTCCTTCTGTCCTCCCTAGTCATTGTCCAACTCTCTGATGCATAACAAGCGATTGCAAATACCATGACCTGTATCAGGCGCACCTTAGTCTCCAGAGAGACACTGTTGCTCCTGAGTACGTCTGATTTCCTGACTGCTGGTACCAAGAGTGTTGACTGTGGAGCCAAGCCTAATGGAGTAGTGAGTGTGTTATTTGGTCCGCTAACAGAAAGTTTGTTGCTTCAAATCCACTGATGAGATCATCTCCTGTAAAGACTTAGAGCCTTGTATGCATCATGAAGGGCTGTGAGTGTCAGAACTGAGTCAACAGCATTGGGTTTGGTTTTGTGGGACCATCATCTTTGAACAGTTACATATCATTATTATAATTAAATACAAGGTTAGATGAAAATCTCACTCAAATTCTATCACAGGTGGCAGCTTACTTTGGCATTTTTGTCAGAATCCTTCTCTCCTTTATTTGCTTCTCCATCAGTGATCCTTTGTGACAGAAACACTTACACAGGGTCAAATTTTATAGATTTTCATGAACATTCTTCATAAATATTGTGAATGCACTCAGATGAGTTTATAACGGTTTGTTCACTGTATGTGAACTTAAGGAGCCCTAAAGGCGCAGAGGTTAACGTGCTCGACTGTTAACTGAAAGGTTGCCGGTTTGAACACACCAGATGCTCTGTGGCAAGATGTGGCAGCATGCTTTCATAAACGTTGACTACAGTCAATGTAACCTTAGGGCAGTTTTACAAAGGCACAAAGTTTGAATTCATCAGCTGCCTTGTGGGAGAAGAATGGGCAATCTCCTCCCATGCTCTTTGGGGCTGCTGGAAACCCACTGGAGGGTCTGCTTTGGGTTGCTTGTCATGAGCTAGAATTAACTCAATGACAATGGGTTACATGCATTTACCACATACATCACACACTTACCATATACCTTACATGTATTTAACATCTTTCACACAAGCTTATAATACAACTCACACACATTTATCATATCTGAAAGCACAGAGTACCAGAGGAATGTATATCTGTGTATCATTAATTATGTATGACTGCATGGATCACAACAAATTGTGGCTAACCTTGAGAAGAAAGGGAATCCCAGAACACCTGACTGTGCTCATGTGAAATCTATACTTGGACCAGAGGCAGTCATCTGAACAGAGCAAAGAAACACTGCAGGGTTCAAAATCAGAAAAAGAGTGTATCAGGAATGTGTCCTGTCTCCATACATTTTCAATCTAAATGCAGAACAGATAATTTGAGAGGCTGGACTTTATAAGGAGGAATGTAGCATCAGAATTGGAAGAAGACTCATCAACAACCTGTGTTATGCAGATGACACAACCTTACTAACCTTACTTGCTGAACCTGAGGAGGGCCTGAAGCAATTACTATAGTAATAGGACTATAGTTTGCAATATGGATTGAAGCTCAACATCAAGAAAACAAAGATTCTCACTACTGTGGCAAGTGGCAGCATCATGATAGCTGGAAAAGATATTGAGATTGTTAACAATTTCAACTTGCTTGGTTCCACAATTAACACTCTCGGCACCAGCAGTCAGGAAATTAAGATTAATTGCATTAGGAAAATCTGCAGTCAGGGACCTCTCCAGAGTGCTGAAGAGCAATGATGTCAGTTTAGAGACTAAGGTGCACCTGATGAAGGCAATGGTCTATGCTATTACTTTCTATACATTAGAGAGCTCAACAAGAACCAAGGATGACAGAAGAATTGATGCTTTTGAGTTGTGGTGCTGATGAAGAGTATTGAACATACCATGGATTTCTAAGAGAACTAATAGGTCTGTCCTGCAGAGGGTGAAAGGACGCTGCTCCTTGGAGGCAAGGATATTAAGACTCCATCTCACATACTTGGGGCACATGACCAGGAGGGATCAGTCCTTGGAGAAGGACATCATGTTCAGAAGGGTAGAGGGACAGCACAGAAGAGGAAGATCCCAGAGGATATGCATTGACACAGTAATTGGGATCATGAGGGTAGGTATGTCAGAGACAGTAAGATTGGCTCACACTAGAGCAGGATTCAGAGCTATTGAGGGTCACTCTGAGTTGCAGTTGACTTGATGGCACATAACAACAACAACATACCCGCTTGCCATAGACCTCGCACACAATTACCGTATACTTTATGCAGACTTAAAACTATTTAACACATGCTTATCATATAACTCATGTACATTTATGGTCTACTGTATACATATAAGAAATCTTATACTCACTGTATACATACCTTACTATACACCTCAGCCCACCAAATTTCACATTGAAAATATTAAGTTCCTTAAAGACTACTTTAAAATCTTTTCTTTCCCAATAACAACAACAATAATAATAATACTTGTGTCTAAACCTTGGCGTTCAGCAAGGGAGGATACATCATTTTGTTTTCAAAAGAACACAAACAACCTTAAAAAGATAGTAATTTTTGGTTTTATCTTATTCCAGTTTCACAACCCAACTAAGAGTAAAAGACAACAGTGACAGTTGGTAGAGAGAAAGGGGCAGCAGGAGACATCCCTAGCTAGGTGGGGTTTTAGTGCTCCCTGAAGCAGGCTGCCCCCCACAGTGGAGATGGCTGGGCAGCTAGCCCGTGGTCCCACATGGGGAGAAGCGTCAATATCAGCTCCGCTCCCCTGACTCTCTCAGTCCTCTGCCTGGTACACTGGACTGTCACATTCACACCTCTCTTGAAATGCTGCTGGGGAATCGGGAATCTAGCACTGGAAGTTCTTCCAGTGCCCCCAGAAGACAACAGAGAACAGAAATGACAAAGGGATGAACTGAGTGCGTGTATTTTATTCTTCTGTGTAGCAGCTGATGAAGAAGCAAGAGTAACTCTGGATGATCTGGAAAGAGCCTCCCTTCTGCGGCTTTTGCCAGAGATGCTGAGTGCAGAGAGAGACGGGAGACCTGAGAATGCAGGTAAGAGGGCTCTTGGTTTACAGATTGTCTGATGTTACTGCTGTTGAACTGCATAAATTCACATACTCATATCCTGGTTCAAAGGCTCTCTCTACACAAACACCCCTATCCTTTATTTCTCTCATCAAATTGGAACCGACTCACGGATGACTTTCCACTAGGTTTCTGAGGCTGCAAATCACACGGGAGGAAAGTGCCCATCTTTTTCCTGATGGATTTGAACCACTAGAGAGGCACAACCTTTGGGTCAGGAATGCAACTCTCTACAGGCTACGAGCTCTAGCACCAGAGCTCTATCCATCCAAATCGATAGCTATGCAGTTTTTCTTTCTTTTTTTTTTTTAACAAATTCTTGGTTTTGGGGTGGTATTATCTCCGTTTCTAAAATGCACAATTTAAAATCCTGGTTTCCCTACTAACTTCTTAAGCAAATTATTTACTCTCTCAATACCTCCGTTTCTTAATTAGCAAAGAAGAATGAGGAAAAAGCACCCATCTCATGGGGTGGGTAAAGTGTGGATGAGGAAACGGCATACTGTCCCAGGGAGAGGCCTGGGTGTCACCCACGACGACTCCCCATGGCTGTACTGCTCCACACAGACAAATGCCCACAGGGTTCCCAAACAAAACGGAGCGTTTTCATCGATGCTGCTTAACAGAAAGGCATCTATTAGAATTTTTTTTCTTCCATTTCACTTTTATTTACATCTATTATACCTTGTGGTAAGAATCTGTGCTGCAATCATGAAGGCTTGCGGTTCAAATCCACCAGCATCCTCTGCAGGAGGATGAGGATGGGCAATCTCCTCCTGAGCGATTGTTGTTGTTATGTGCCATCGAGTCACCTGCAACTCAGAGTGATCCTATGCACATTAGCTCAGAAAGCTGCCCGATCCTGAGCCAATTTCATCATCTCCAACAGACTTAATCCCATTGCTCCAGTCACGGAATCAGTCCATCTTATCCTGGGTTTCCTCTCCTGCACGGTCTCTCCACCCTTCCAGGCACGATGTCCCTCTGTAAGAACTGGTCCTTCTGGCCACATGCCCAAAGTATGTGAGAAAGAGCCTCAAAACCCTTGCCTCCAGGGAGCAGTCTGATTTCATCCTCTCCAGGACAGACTTATTATCTGGCAGTCCACAGTATGTTCCACACTCTTCTCCAGCACCACAGCTCAAAGGCATCGATCCTTCTTCTATCATCCTTAATAACTGTTCAGCTCTCTGATCAGGCACAACTTAGTCTTCAGACTGGCATCATTGCTCTCAGAACACTGGAGAGTTCCCTGAATGCAGATAACTTTCCTCAGTGTAATTAGTCTATTGATTTCCTGAGTGCCAGCACTAAGAGTGTTGATTGTAGAACAAAACAGGCTGAATCATCTCCACCCATCCTGAAGCTGTCAATAGGCCCAATGGGGAGAATCTTTGTATTCTTGATATTGAGATTACAGTCCTTGGCCATCTAGCAAACATTTCCTGTCCTCTTCAGTTTCAGCAAGCAAGGCTGTGTCATCTGCATAATGCATGTTGTTGATGAATCTTCCTCCAATCCTGATGCCACACTCCTCCTCATAAAGTCCAGCCCCCTGGATGATCTGTTCTTCATATACTGCCTCTGAAAACCTGCTGGAGTGTCAGCTATGGGTCAGTTCTGATTCAACAACAACAACAAACCTCTCTTCAGGAAGTCTAGTGGCATAAGAAGCTGTGTTGCCAACCCAAAGGCACACAGTTTGAAACCACTAGCTTCTCCACTGGAGAAAGCTGGGCAGTCTTCTCCCATGTGATGTACAGCCTCTGAAAACCTGCTGGAAGGTCAGCTATGGGTGGGTTCTGACTCAATGATATCCAACAATACTTCTCTTGGATGAATGTTGCACAACATTATACGAGTAGTTTCACCGTACTCATGCTCCAATTTTAGACAATTCATCCTTAGCTGCTTGTCTCTGCTGAGGGGTTTTCACAAATCTGAGCAGATTGACGATGGCAGCAGGTGTCATTCCAGGTGTACGACTAGTAGCTCCAATCATCTGTCGGAGACTGAAGTGCAGTTTCTCTCCAGCTTCATGGGATAAAGCTATACACCCTTGAGAGTCAAATAATCTAAGTTTTTCTGAAGTTAGAGAGCTTCATCTAGCTGTACTCCCTCAATTTTCTGCTGCTGGAACAATGCTGATTCAAAAGTGGCTTCTCTTTTCAGTCTTTCTGCTAGCTCTCGACAATTGGTGTACTTCTTCAAAGACTTTGGAGCAGCCTTGGATAATAACTCCATACCAACTTTCTCATATTTCAAAACATCTAGAGCTCTGAGAGGCTGACTTTTATTAATGCTTGTAGAATCCTCTGAGAGTAATTTTTTTTCCATTTGACACTTGAAAATTCAATGGTTTTCAGCACAGAAGTGTTTCTTGTAAAGTAGACTTTATCCAAGATTCCCTTTGATAGCGCTTTTGGGACACACAGCCAGCTTTTTTTATATCCTTGGAAGGTGAGCCTCCTGGCAGCATTATCAGGGCACAGTGACAAACTCCACTGGGCTGGTAAACATGTGGTATGGTTCACTGGTACCCAAAGTGGTGAGATCATCAATCAAAGCATCTATGTAGGCTTCTGTTGACTGACCTGAAGACTGGCCTTGACTCCAGCTCTCACACCTTGAGCTGCAGCTTCCTCATAGTCGGTGATACCATTGATTTGTCCAGCAAAGAAAGACCATTGAACCAAATGTGTCTTGAGGGAAAGAGTGATTAGATGGGGGTCAAAGTAATCATGCTGAGCCCCAGCGTGGCTGGATCACCCGAGCCTCTCCGAGCCTCTGACTCATGCCATCATTTTCTCTGTAACCGTGTGGGCAGTGTTACAGATAAACCCTTGGAAGGAAGTAAGGTCAGAATCCATTCGTTCAGGTTCCAACCAAACCTGATGTATGTGGTTTGGAAAATGTAAACCATGTAATTTAATGGGGGAGGGTCCAGTATCGGGTCCTCTTGTAATTTCCTTAACATGACAATCTCATCCACTCTGGAACTGGTGTGAGTCACGTAACATGGGAGTGCACCTTCCGGCTTACTCTATACTATCTCACTGAGTAAACTGAATGGTCAGATGGGTTATCTGGCATCTGCTTGTTTAGAATGTTGAAACTAATGGAATCTTTTGCAATTTGGTGTGGAGTTCCAGTCTTCAGCCTTCCAACCACAAACCCCAACTTGTCTAGAGTCTGAGCCAATCCTATTGAAGGCTGATTCCCTAAATATCCTGCTGGATTCATTTCCAGTCCAATTATATCATGCCTCTCAGAAATGTGCCACTAGTCAGGATCACACGCTCCACATACACTGTGCTCCCATCAGCCCAGACACCAAGAACGTGGCATTTCCCAGAGGGTACCGGCTCTGGTTCACTCTCGAACAAGAAGAACATCACGTAAGAACGTCTTCCACAGCTCCCTTCTGAATAATAAGCTCTAGTGTATTCCAAATTTCTTTCTGCCTGTTCTGTTTACAAAGTTTCCTATCAATTTGAGCTATTAGGCACCCCATCGGTCCCTTACACTTTTTAAAAATAATTTGTAATGGACCCCGTACTTGTCACGGATGCAAGAACACAGCCACCCAAGGCATCTACTTCCCTCATTAGATGCCCTTTCCCAATGCCCCCCAACGAAGGATTACAGGATATCTGATCCATGATCGTGTCCACATGGTGTGTGAGTAGCAGAGTCTGGGAGCTGCATCAACAGTAGAAACTGCTTCAGTCCTGGCATGTTCTCTGCTGATGACCAGGACATGGAAGTGTGGAGACCTGGGTGACCCACTCTCAGTGCTGAACTGGGCCAGCAATAAGTGCTATTTGCTGAAAGAACTTGCAACCCTGGGGCCACAGCTTTGGAGGGTGAACATAATAGGAGAAAGCCTGAATCTACATGACTCTGATCCCAACAGAGCCTAGGTGCAAACGCTTGGTCAAGGAGGAGGAAAAGTATGTAATTCTTCATGAATTTGCATGTCATCCTTGCACAGGGGCCATGCTAACCTCTGAATTGTCCCAGTTTTAGTATATGTGCTGCTGAAGTGACCACTGTTAGAAAACATTTTATAAACTCCTCAAGTACTGACTAAATGAAGAAAATGCTGCACATTTTGTGAGTTACACAGATAAGAAAAACGGTGCCTGCCTGCATGTATATCAAGGTAGCTAGAGTGTGGAGAGCAGGAAGACCAGACACTAGACAGACGTAAACAAGACACACTCTTTGTACACTGTACACTTTGTACCTTAATTAAAGCGAGCAGTAACCAAAGATGATGGACTGGCTGATTATTGATTTTTAAAATATTGTTTTCCAGATTCCAGGACCAATACTTTGAACCTAAGAGGAAGTCTGCGAAATGTAAGTGACTCCATTTATGGGAACTAGGTTTAAAATTCTCCACTCAATTTAAGAGGATTCTAAACTCATGAACTAAAGAGTGTTCTTGGCAAGCATATTCTTGGCAGGAGCTAGAAAAATGTTAGTGGTGGAAATCATACCTTAAAATAATGGGCCAATTGGTGTTATGCAAAGCATTAATTTCTTCCAAATTTTGATTCATGTACAATCTTAATGTAAGAAACAGTTATCCAGGGCCTATTTAGTGTAGATTATTATTTTTTAAAATTTTTTATTATTATTTGTGTGTGTGTACTGTCAAATCAGATCTGACTGGTACAGGAGGAGATTGTTTCTCCTTCTCCAGCAGAGCATCTGGTGGATTTGAACTGCACACCTCTGGGATTGCAGTGCAGCTTATTGCCACTAGGCCACTAGAGCTTTCCTTTTTTAAAATTTTATTATTTGTGTGTGTGTGTACCATCAAATCTGATCTGACCGGTATAGGAGGAGATTGCCCCTCCTTCTCCAGCAGAGCATCTGGTGGATTTGAACCACATACCTCTGGGATTGCAGTGCAGTTTCTTGCCACTAGGCCACCAGAGCTTCCTTGTGAAGATTATTTTTAACAAGCTGTAAGACAATGGAAGACAGATAAGGCCCCTATAGGCTGTGTAGCCCGTATAACCATGTGGCCCCTCTGAGCTGCTTCATTATTTCAACTTGTGTCCATTGACCAGCAGCGTTACCATCACAGGGAAGCTTGTGAGAGATGGAGATGCTCAGACTGCACGTACAATCTTCTGGACCAAATGCTGCATGTTAATAATATCCTCAAGTGGTTCATATGCACATTAATCAGAAGAGCACTGTGATTCACAAGTGGAAGAAAGTTGAAAACATTGAGCCACCTGTAGTAGAGAGCAAATATTAAGATAATTACTTGGGACATAGAACAAGAAGCATAATGGAGAATGATGAATGGTGAGACCAAATGATTTGGAAAAGGTCACAATTATAAAACAAGATAGAGCTGCCATAGACTGTGAGTCATGGGAGTGACACCACGTGAGTCAGTAGGACTGCGCCATACAGGGTTTTCTAAAGTAGATAGCCAGATCTTTCTTCTGAGGCACCTGGGTGGACGTGGCTCTCCAGCCTTTCAGTTGGCAGACAGTACATTACCTAATTTGCACCATGAAGGGATTCCTTTACAATTAGTAGCTTGTTGCCATCACGTAAATTCTGACTCATGGAAGCCACCGAGGACAGAGTAGAATTGCCCTGTCAGGTTTTCTAGGCTGCAAATCTTTATGAAAGCAGATGGCTACATCTTTCTCCAGAGGTGTATTTAGTGATTTTGAACCTCGGGCTTTTTCATTAAGCTGCTGCGCTCCAGGGGCCCTTGAATAATTAATTCTCAAACCAAACTCAGTGCACTGTTGCTGAGTCACAGCACCCCTCCATTGGGTTTCCAAGGCGATACATCTTTACAGGCAGAGATTGTCTATCTTCTTTCCTTAGAGCAGCTGGTAGACTCGAGCTGCGAACCTTCTGGTTAGCAGTCAAATAAGTTAGGTACTATACCACCAGAGCTTCTTATATAATTATCAGGGGACTTTAAATGCTTAAAGAAAAATCTTTTCTTCCTTCCTTCCTTCCTTCCTTCCTTCCTTCCTTCCTTCCTTCCTTCCTTCCTTCCTCCCTCCCTCCCTCCCCCCCCTCCTCTTCCTTCTATTATTATCATCATCATCATCATCCCCCAGAACAATCAATATTGTAGTTGCTGAAGGTTTCTGTTAGTACACCACAAACACCAGGTGAGTGGTTATTTTATATACACATAGCCTGTAAATGTACATACTTGCAGTATTATAAGCTGTTCAAGTCTACCTAGAGGTGCCCTGTGAGAAATCAGCCCCTGAAAACTATACAGAGCCAGTTATAATCTGTCACATACAGGGCCACAACAAGACAGGGTCAACCAGAGAGCAGCTGGCTATGTCCTGAATAAAGATTGTTTTTCTCATGTGAGATCTTTCACTGACTTACCTCGTTTTTGTGTGACTGTTTTGGTTTCAGGCTTTTTCTCGGCAAGACCCTAAGGTTTTACTGAACCATCTTTTGGCTGCAACAAGGAAACAGCACAAGAAACATGAGACTACCTCTGAATGCTTCTGGAAATACTGTGTGTAAAACAAAACGAGTGTCTGCTAGTTAATGAGAAGCAATCCCCTTAGAAGATAAAAACCGCTTGATTAAACACAGCATCAAAGAAACGCCAGGCAAACCATGCCCTGCACATTATTATTTGGAAAATAAATCCTCTATGTTTTGCCAATACCACATGAGCAGTTATTTTACTTATATACCTAGCCTGTAAATCTGCATATTTACTTTCCTTCCATAAATCCTCAGTAAAAAATGGAGGGGGGAGAAAAAGAGGAATATAAATCCTTTGAAAATTTCAGAATAAGGCTAATAAATGAACAGAAGCAAATACTTCTGACAGGGGAGTTCATATATTCAGACACCTTCTCTCTTAGCTGACTGAAGTGCTCAACACTTGAATCATTTTACACTAAAAGTTGTTTGATCACAGACATTTATTCTAGGGGGAAATATCTTTTTAACTTGTTTAGAGAGGAAAAGAGAAAAAAGTTGACAGGAGATTTAGGTTTGAGGAAATAGCCTGGTTTAACATTCTTAAAAAGAGCAAATATATGCATACATGTATGAAAGTTATTTATTTATAGTTTGTAAGCACATCTACGTAAATGAGTTTGCTTACCTGTAGGCTATGTCCTGTGAGGCCCTCAGTGCTGTGTGTGTGTGGCTCCCAGCACAGAACAATGCAGACAATGGAGTGAAATCTTTAAAGATGGGAAAGCTGAGCCTCCCAATATGAGCTCTGCTGGAGCAATATGAAATCTGTACTGTTCTTGTCAACAAACACCATAAATCTGCTTTTCCTCACTTAAGATATCAAGAATACATTTATAGGGGAAAAGGTTTTAAGCTCAGAGAACACACATTATCTCAAACATGAGGACACTGAATGCAGCTATGACAGTGCTCTAGGTTTAAAATGTGTGTGGCAGAGATTGGATGGTAATGCTAAAAGAAACCCTGGTGGTGTGATGGCTAAAAGCTTCAGCTGCTGACCAAATGGTATGAAACCACCATGTGTCTCTATTTAAAAAAGGAAAAAAA